AACTCAGAACTAATTCATAGTTATAAATCATAGTTAAAAACTCCAATAAGGTTTTCAGAGGCTGTACATACATCACGTAGGAAGAGATTGTCCATTTTTCTCTCAGTGTGGGTGGTGAATTAGAAGAGCCAGAGATGAGCTGTCTTAGGGTTAGCAATGCAACTTGCTATGGGCTACTCTTGTGGCTGCCTACAAAATGGCCAGTGGGTTCAAATTGCAGGCCTTCAATTAGAAGCTTGAATGCTATAAACTTGTTGTTGAAAAACTCACGATGCTAGTAGGTACATTTAAGATACTTCATTTTTAAAATGAGAAATGTGTAGGAAGACTGTGACTAGTCCTTGACAATTCGAAAATCCTGGTACAAATTTTTGCCAATACTGCAATATTTGATGTGACTCTCCAGAAATTAGTCTGTATAAAAACTGCATCTATCTTTTGAGTCAGCTTTGCTCTATCACCAGAAAACTGAGTAACCCCTTCAATCAATTTGCTATTTACACTCAATTGACTTACTCCTTAAACCAAAATCTTTTGTTTTATTTCTGGCAGAAAAACTGAATTTAATATATTGTGATTTCTCTATGATTTACTGTGATTTACTTCATTAAACAAAATCTACACTACCAAAATTCATAAGACCCTTTGAACCTTGAACTCCTTACCATGTTGCCACAGTAGAGTGTTTTTTAATTTTAGAAGCCCTGGGTTTTGGGGGTTTGTTTTTGTTTTTTAACTTAAGAAAATCTGTGAGACTCTAGATCATTTGCCAGTGTTAATTTTTATATATAGTATTGTCTTAAATAATTCTGACAATTTAATTGTTTACAATCACAACTTATGATGGATCTTTGACTTTTTAATTTTTTTAATCTACTGCACTATTTTCCCATTAATTCATGTTTCTATGCTCATATTTTAAAATATAAAAAACCCCAAACATCATTTAAATATTGTGTCTGGAAATTTCCCTAGTTAGAACTATATATTTCTTATTTCTTTAGTTTCTTTCTCGTTTTTAAGAGCACACAGGCTTTTATGAACACATAGACATGTATTGAGATGATGTCTGATTATACCTAATAGACTGGGGGACAGATAGTTTGACTTTCCTTTAAAATATTTTTTTTCATGAAAGCTTGTAGGCTAACTACCTTCTAATTTATGTTTTTAGTTTCCCATGTTAGATAGCCAAGAGGTTTCCAGACCTGGTTCACTTAGCTAGACACTAACTAAAAAGATTATTTTCCCAAATGAATGTTACGAGGGCAAAGTAAGAATATGCAATTCAGACGGAAGAATAGTTAAAGACAGGAAGGTTCATTATGAAGACAGAATAAAGCTCACAGGAGATGGTTTATTAAGCAAGAGAAACACTCATAGATAGGGAATGGGCTCATCAAAGGAGTAGAGACATGTTAATGGGCCTACAGGTATACATTTTTAAATCACACATTACACATTCTCCCACATCAACATTTTCAGAATAATTCATGATACTTTTAATACATTTTGTGATTGACTAGTATTTGAAACTTGGAGTCTATTTTGTCTTCTTGATGTGAATATTAGCTTATATTAAATTTTCAAAATTATTGTGTAATTAATAAGGAATCTTTATAAAAATGAATGATTTCTGTCATGTGCCAAAAAACTGATCCAGGCCATGATATTTTCAATTGCTTCCTATGATATTGAGAGCTGGACAATAACTAAGGATGAAAGAGGAAGAATTGATGCATTTGAAACGTGTTGTTAGAGAGAAATGCTGAATATTCCATGGACTGCCAAGACAACAGACAGTTATTTATTGGAGAAGTATAATCAGAGTATAATCAGAAGTATAACCAGAGTGTTCTTTAGAGGCAAAGATGGTAAAGCTTTGTCTCACATATTTTGGGCATGTTTTTAGGAGGGAGTATTCCTGCGAGAGGGACATCATGCTTAGGAAGGTTGAGGGACAGTGAAAGAGAAGAAGACCCTTAACCAGGTGGGTTGACACAGTGACTGCAGCAATAGGCTCAAGTTTGTCAGAGATGGTGAAGATGGGATGGGATGGGACGACTCTCAGATCTGTTGTTCATAGGGCCACTATGAATCATACTCAATTCGATAGCAGCATGACTACTACCAAAAATTGCAAATATGTATGATTATAGTCAATAGTCAACTGCCTGTCACGTTCTATTCAGTAAGTCAGATATTCATATTTAGTGTTGGGTGTTTAGGGCAAAATACCACTGCAATACATGAGAACGTTTTGAATAGAATTTTTTTTTGCATTTTTTAAAATTTATTATTAATTTCAATGAAAATTTACAGAAACTTTAGATTTCCATTCATTCCTTATTGTACTTTTCTCCCTTCCCAACCCTCCCCCCTAGTACACTACCTTGGAAAAGTAAAAGGAAAATTCTTTCATTGTTTGATAATTCCTCCCCCCAGGTCCACTCCACTATGCAGCCTTTGCTCTGGTAATGACATATCAGATAAAGGACTTACATCCAGAATTTATAAAATACTTGAGCACCACAACAAGATAAAGGTAAATAATCCAATAGAAAAATGGTCACAGGATATGAACAGACACTTGAATATAATTTTTAATTAATTTGTCCAATTAAAAATTACATAGAATTAATAGTCATATTGGAAAATTAGGCACAAAATAAATTTATAGCAACACAAAAGAACTGACATGGAATAAATTAAACAACTAAATAATATTTTGTGAATACAGCTCTGATCCAGTTAGGAGGCTCCCATTTTGGCATATTAAACTCAAAGTTTGTAACACATAAAACTTTTTACCAGCCACCTTCTCAAGGCTCCCTTCACTTCCTTATTTCTTACGCTGTATATAAGGGGGTTCAAGACAGGGGTAAATATAGTATAAAAAGCTGATACCACCTTGTCGTGGTCAACTGAACGGTAAGATTTGGGCCTCATGTAGATGAACATGAGGGTGCCATAGAAGAGTCCCACGACCGCTAGGTGAGAGGAGCAGGTTGTAAACGCTTTCTTCCGGGCTGCAGCTGACTGCATGTGGAGCACTGCCACCAGGATTAGGCTATATGAGGTCAAAATGAGAGATAAAGGGATCAAAAGCATCAGGATGCAGCAGATATACATGAAAAACTCAAAAATTGTAGTATCAGCACAGGCAAGACGCACCAATGATGGTGCCTCACAAAAGAAATGATTAATTTCCTTTGAGTGACAGTAAGGGAAACTCAGTGTAGCACCAGCCTGCATTAGCCCATCAATTCCTCCAAAAAGCCAGGAACCTACTGTCATGAGTAGGCAAAGCCTCTGGCTCATGAGAATGGGGTAGCGTAGTGGGTGACATACGGCCACATAACGGTCATAGGACATAGCTGCTAAGAGGAAGCACTCACCCCCTCCAAGAGTGAGGAAAAGGAAGATCTGAGCTCCACAGCCAATGGGAGAGATAGATTTAGTATCCATCAGATAGTTGGCTGCCATTTTGGGAACGATAGTGGACACCAACATCATGTCCATGAAGGAAAGCTGGCTAAGCAAGAAGTACATGGGTGTGTGAAGCCGTGGGTCCGCATGGATCAGTAGAATCATAAGGCCATTTCCCATCAGTGAGGTAAAGAAGATTATGAGCACCATAGAAAAGAGGAACTGGTGGGTTTGTGTGCGGTTAAAGAGACCTAGAAGAATGAAATACACTCCTGTGGTGTTATTTGTATCCTCCATGACTCTACTTGTGCCTGAAAGACATAAAAAGAATATAAATGAGCTTTGCTCAAAACGAATGTTAGGTATAACCTTAAGAATCATGGTTAAATGACTATTACTTTACTTTTAATATGAAACCAAAATCTCTGTAAATGTTCATTAAAATTAATAAAATAAAGTTGTTTTTTTTTAAAATGGGGGGAAGAGAGAAATAATGAAATGTTGTTGTGTGCCTTTGAGTTGGAATTGCCCCATATTTCACACTTCAGTGGATTTTCAGAGGCATTAAATTGCATGGAGGAGATTGCCCATCCCTCTCCTATGGCACAGCTGGTGGATCTGACAAATCTCAGACAAACCGAATTTAAAATATCTTTTTAGTCAAATGGATAAAGCAAGTTGATTTAAGAATTACTGGAGTGTCAAGTCAGAACATTGTATCATACTTTACCTTGTGTGCCATAATAAAATACTGAAAAGTAAAAACAAAAAAAATAAATTTAGAGGGAATCTCTTCAATAATCTGTGTTATACAAACAGAATCTTGCTTGCTGAAAGTGAGAAAGACTTGAAGCGCTTGTTGCAGAAGATCAAATGCAACCTCCTATATGTATTGCACCTCAATGTCAAAAAGATAAAATCCTATCAACTGGACCAATAGGCAATAACATGATAAATGGAGGAAAAAATTGGAATTGTCAACAACTTCATCTTACTTGGATTCACAATCAACATCCTGGTTACCAGAAATCAGGATATCAGGAGACGCATCACACTGGGAAATGTCGGCAGTTAAGGAGTTCTCCAAATTATTGAGTAGTAATGACATTTTTTTGAGGATTAAATTGTGTCTGGTTCAGATTATGGTCTTTCTAATCATTTTCAATGCACTTGAGAGCTGAATAAATAAAGATGATGGAAGAATTAATGCCTTTGAGCTGTAATGTTGGAGAAGTGTAATGAATATCTCAACAAATGCCAAAAGAAAAAATATATCTTGAATAAAGCACATCCAGAGTGCTTCTTAGAGGCAAAGACGATAAAGTTTTGCGTCAAATATTTTGGCCATATTGCTAGGAGGGACCATTCATTGTTGCACTTTTTTCTTTACCCTCCCCACCCCCGGTTCGCTCCTCTTTTTGAAAAGCAAAATATAAACTTTGTTGGTATACAATCCCCCCACCCCCACCTCGAATGCACTCCACTATGCAACCGTAATCCTATATTCCTGTGATAATCACAATACCCTATCATACATTGCTTTTAAACTGTTCTCTCCCTCAACTGTTTCAATGCAGTAGACATAATTTTTCCAGTTTTTCTCAGTCTTACCCCAACCCTGATGTCAGTACCACTCTACAACAGTGACACTATGCAGTATTTGTCTTTTTGTGACTGAGATATTTGTCTCTTAAAATATTTTCTACTAAATCATTCTGAAAATATGAAATTATTACATAATTCACATGTAATATATACTTTTAATTTAAAAACAAAGTTATAATTATACTTTAACACCTTTCTCAGAAGGTTTTGTGCCCTTTTGGAATTTTCTTTCTGCCTTCTTTCTACCTTCTATGAATTTTGTTACACAGAACATACACCCATGGTCTTTTTAATTATTCCAATGTTGTTAGGTTCTTTGATTATCAACTTTGAAATGTTTTATTTCTGTAATATCCAATATGTTATGAGAATTTTTAATATATTTCATGAAGTTTTTAATAAAATATTTCAATCACAAAAATATTGAAGTAGAGAAATATTTGAAGGGGAAAAATGTGTGACATCTAACATGAAAAAAGCAATTATGTTCATCTCAATTCAATTCTAAGCAATTCCACAAGCAGCACAGTGAAAGAGGGATGACATGAAGTAATTAAAATTTCTATTTTCATAATAAGATTGAAGAAAATGATATATAATAGTACATAATAGTATTCTATACATGAAAATGAAAAACCTATTCCTATTTATGTTCTAGTTGTACAAAACATGTAATTACAGGAAATTAAAGTTACACTAGATCTATTTCTTCATTTTTTTAAACTACACTTTATTGTAATATTCCAAAATTAGGAAAGTGTTCCCTTTCCCAGAGGTATAATATATGTTGTATGCTCTGACGGTCAATATTTTGTTCTGACCTTAGGATGTTCTTTTCATTGATAAGTTAAAAAATTTAAAGTGAAATTATTTCTTTTTACTGGTATATAATGACATTTTGTGACCATTATATAATGATTTTTTTGTTCATTAGTGAAAAAAAAGTAATATTATAGTACATTTGAGTTTTAATTATTTTTTTCTTGGAGTTTTTGAATGGAATATCTATAAGTGGCTAATTATGATATGATATTGATTATAACCCACAATTTTATCATGCATTGTTTATTCTGTTAACTTTTTTCTCTGCTGATCATCTTATTTCAGATGATCATGATATAGATGGAGTAACTCATACATAACAATATAATGATAAGAAATTGCTTCCACCCAAAGGCAGACAGTTTAAACTCAATAGCTGCTCTTTGGGAGGAACACAGGTAATCACCTACTTATGATGTACAAACTCTGACAACTTTTGCAAGTGTCATCTATGAGTTGATTCTTAATCGAGGAAACATAACCGTAACAACAAGATGTTGACCCTTAATGCACATTGCCTCATCAATTATAAATTTGACTACAATAAATTTTGCTTTTGTTTCAGATTTTCAGATGAAGAACTAGATAATTAATTTCTTTTTTTCTCATATCAAAATTAGGAAACACGGGTACAGAACTTTGTTTATCAAAGTTGACTGCATATAGTTCTTTGGGTTTCTTTGTATTTTTGTTTCAATAATTATCTCAACATAGTATGGTTTTATAGATGAAACAAACAAAGTAAATTAACAATGTACTCTCTAGCACATTGCTATTCTTAGACACATTCCAGTTACCAAGCTCTAACCAGTTACCAAATTATCCCATGCACAATAGAGGCAAATACTGTCTGATATCATACCATCTCCATAATTGGTGGTTGCCTGCATTGTTCAGATCCTTAGAGTTTAGACTAGCTAAATTTTTGAGATGGCAAAATCTCTCTTCCTAGTTTACTTTATTCTTATCTCTCTACTGAAATCTATTTATTTTTGTTGTAGTTGCTATTGTTGTTGTTGTTGTCATGTGCTCTCGAGTAGCCTGTGACTCATAGCTAACCTATGTACAACAGTCCTAAATCCTGCTCTATCGTGTGCCAATCTTACCAACATCACATTAACATGTAAGCTATCACTGAGAGACCAGCTGTGTTTTTGTATGGGTATATTGTCTGTAATGAAACCTGGTGTCCTAGTTGTAAGGCAAAAATTCTACCAATGAATCATAAATACTCTATCTCAAACCTGTAGTCTAGACCAAGAATTATGTTCCATGTAATTTGTGGTTACATGTATTAAAGAAATAAAAATATGTGTTATAGTCAATCTCAGTAGGTACAGTTCCAGATGCTATATTGATTTGAAATACACATTCATTAAAAATGCAAGTACTAAGTATATATTTAAGCAACTAAATAGGAATGCCGATATATGTAAAACATGAACTCCTTTTCTTTTTTGGAGTTTCAGTCATATAATTCTATCTAGAGCTGCAAATGAATTTACTGTTTGAACAAGAAAGAGGAGTGGAGGGTGAGAACTTACAAATCAGACAGGAATCACTTTAATCTGTATTTGAACTATTGTAAACAATGTGATTTGGAGCATTTCTCTTAAATCCTGTGCAACTTAGCTGAATTTTGTTTAAGGTGCCATCGAGTTGAGTAAGACTGACAGTGAACCTATGAACAACAAACCTGACCTGTTCTGTTCTGTGCCATCCTCATCATTGTTGCTATACTTGAACCCATTGCTCTACTCACTATCAATCCTTGTCATTGGGGGTCTTCCTCTCTTTCATTGTCCCTCCACTTTTCCTAGCATAATGTCCCTTTCCAAGGAACAGCCTCTTCTAGCAACATATCCGTAATATGTGAAATGAAGCTTGCCTTCAATGAGCACTCTGGCTATACCTTTTCCAAGACACACTTGTTTGTTCTCTTGGAAGTCCATGTTTGTGTATGCTGTTGTTGTGTGCAGTTGAGTTAGAACTGACTCATAACTGATGTTTCAATGGATTTTGAGAGAATAAATCACTGCCCAGTCTTCTCAAATTGAGGAGCTGGTAGATTGAACCATGTACTTTTGGGATTGCAGCACAGCTTCTTACCACTAGGCCACCAGAGCTCCCTAATGTTAGTGTATGTAAAGTTAATAATTGTCTTACAAAATCATAGTAAGAATGCAAAGAAGTAGTACATATGTAGATTGTCTAATTATTTAAAGTTCGTGTATTTTCAATAATTACGGCCAATATGACTTTTATCTCCACACAGACTGTTTATTTTCTAAGATTGTTGTAAACTTAAAAATACACAAATAAATGTACTGATTAATTAAAATTACATTTTCCAAAAAGATTAATAAAGAAAAAATCCCACAACTAATAT